AATCACAATTAAAAATTTCCCATTTGAAGAATTCAATTAATAACACTGTACAACAAGATATTCTTAGTAAAAGTAATGAAAATTGGAAATGTACTGAGTACATTATACCCATAAGGTTAAAAACCGAAGTGTCAAAATTATCCAGTTATCTTTGTATTTAAATACAAAGACTAGACAATAGACTAGACTATAGACTAGAGTATAGACTAGACTATAGACTAGAGTATAGACTAGACTATAGACTAGAGTATAGACTAGACTATAGACTAGAGTATAGACTAGAGTATAGTCTTCCTTTAAAACAAAACAAACCTACAACTAACTGATTTAAACCATTATAATTATTTCAGAAATGTTGAATTTGGTTGAATTTGGAAGCAATTTACTTGTTTACTTTCAATTGCAGTTGATGTCACAACTCCGACATTGTTGCACAGTGTAATGCAGCATAGTCTTGGGGTGAAAGAGTATCTACTGTTCAAAGTACATAAATAAATACAAATATGAACAAATAGATATCGCAAGATTTAATCAATTCTGCACTGTAGGTATTTATGGTAAAAAATGTATTTGTTTTCAGACAAAATTCCATGAATACTTATGTACATACACATGTACTTGTTTCAATTTTTATGAATGAAACGTAACCGAACTAAACACAAACATTACGAAACAAACTAATACGAAAACAAATCTGTTTGACGTTACTAGTACATATTTTAGTATTTTGTTTGCAAGAAAAAATAATAGATTTTAAACAATAATAATAATAAATAACTAAATAAATAGTAATTGTTTATAATGTTGTGGATTTCGTGTTTTTTTGTATTTAAATATACATTTAGGTCAAGTTTAGCTATTACAACACGTTAAATGGTAATTGTTTTGTTTTGTTTTAATTTTAATTTTTGTTTTTAATTCTATATTATAATTTATTATAAATTCTTGAATGCCTTTTGTTTTATTAATTGGAAAACAATTTTAAGATGTTTTCTTGACGTTTTTAATCTACATAATTTGTTTTTCACTTGAGTTTGTCTGTTAAAAATTTAAATTTTATTTCAAACGCTTCGTTTTCGCATGTTTGATATTATGAAATTTTTTCACATTTTTTTTTTTTAATTTTTTGTTAAATTTATTTGTTATACATCATGTGTTGCGGTACAGGTATAAATAATTTATTTTACTTTAATATTATAATTATAATTGTTGTACGTAACATAAGTTCGTAATTCGTAGATACTGATACTGACTCGTTAATAGTTTTAGCCTTAATGTTACACCTTTGAATTTTTTGGCTTATTATTATTTTATTATTAATTTTTTTTAACTGTTCTCTGATAAGCGTCAGTCAGTCATAATATATACTGATAAAAATAATAAGAAATGTAATTAAACACCTATACATGAGTATTTAATAAAAAATATTTCATTTTGTTTAAAAGTATTTGTAGTATTTGTGTGTTGTTTTACTGAATACATACATATGTTTTTTATTTATTTATTTGTATTATAATATTTGCAGTTATAATGAATGAAAAGACGATTAAACGGTCTGTACCGTGTATTAAGAAATTCACATTTAAGTGCGATTTTTTTCATAATAAGTTTTCAGTTATTCTTTAACTAACTTTCAAAGTATTAACTTTTGTTTTTTTCAATATTATTTTTATTTGTTACGTATTTTACTTTATTTTATTATTTTTAACTTAAAGTGTTAAAAGACACAAAAAATCTGTGCGTTGTGTTCTTATTACAAATACGGAACTGAACATTTTGTTGTCTTCTGTCCCCATTATCAATCGTGTTTTAAAATACCTTCTTACAACCCTTAAATATGACAGAAATAAAAAATCAGTTGAGGAAATAAGGCAAGAGTAATTAGAAGCAAAACAGACGGACTTAAAGACAGACAGAATGAATCAACCTTAAAGTGTATCGGACAAAAAATATATAATATCAGATATTTACCTATATTGTAAACAAAATATGTTATTTATCAATATATTTTTTATGTTTTTCTTTTCTTTTTGTAGGCTTATTTTGCAAATGTGTTAAGTCAACTTTTGTTTAACATATATATATCTATATCAGATATGTATGTATATTGCAACAAAATTTGAGTTTTTAAGAATATGAAATTGTGTAGTATAATTTGAAAACATTTTTCTAAAATTTCAGACTATAGTAATCTTATTTAATCTGTTACGAATATCTTTATGACTTTCTCCTTATAACTTAACACCACTCTAGTGTTAATACAATTTAACAATAGTTTATTAGCAAAAAATATAACAAAAATTTAATAATTTTATTTTAATTGCAATTTTTTTCGTATAAAATTATTAAATTTTTTATGCACAATTTGACACTAATCTTATTTATGCTCGTGTATTTCTTTCATTTTTTTCTAACAACCGTTACAACAATGGAATTTCAAAATAAAATACGAAATATTCGCAGCAGATAGCAAAACATAGATAGAAAATACATGCTAGAAAATCTAAGAAGAAGAAGAAAAAATAAGACATCATGTGACAATCAACGGATATCATTGTTAGTCTGTCTGCACTTGTAAAATGTGGATGTAACCAAGTAAATCGTACCGGGTATTGTACTAGTAAGTTAGTTTTATATTATGTATTAGTTAATACAGTGGAAGCTCTATAAAAGGAACTAATAAGAAAAATATTACACCAAGTTTTACTTAATGTCTTATTATTTCGGATTAAAGAAGCCGATTGCTAATCCGATACATTTTACTGAAAATAGTACTTTTTTAGGAATTATATTATTTAAAAATCCCAGAAGAAATCGATTTTGATTATTCATATTATGGACTTGTATAAGACTACTCTATAGATTAGTCCATTGACTACTCTATGGACTAGTCCAATGAATACTTTATAGAATATAGAATAGTTCATTGACTACTCTATAGACTAATTATTTGGCTACTCTTTAGACTACTTCATTGGCAACTCTATAGACTAGTCCATTGGCTACTCTATAGAATATTTCATTGACTATTCAATAGAATATTTCATTGAGTACTCTATAAAACAATCCACAGACGACTCTATAGACTATTCTATTGTCTACTCTATAGAATAGTTCATTGACTTCTCTATAGATTAGTCCATTGACTACTCTATAGACAAGTCCATTGATTACTCTATAGACTAGTCTATTGACTACTATTTAGACTAGTCCATTGACTACTCTACTTACATGTCAGTCCATTGACGACTCTATAGACTATTCTATTGTCTACTCTATAGACTAGTCCATTGACTTCTTTATAGACTAGTTCATTGACTACTCTCTACACTACTCCATTGACTATTATATAGACTAGTCCACTGACTCTGTAGACCAGTCCATTGACTACTCTGTAGACTAGTTCATTGACTACTCTATAGACTAGTCCATTGACTACTCTATAGACTAGTCCATTGACTACTCTATAGGCTATTCTATTGTCTACTCTATAGACTAGTCCATTGACTACTCTATAGAATAGTTCGTTGGCTACTCTATAGACTAGTCCATTGACCACTCTATAGACTAGTCCATTGACTACTCTATAGACAAGTCCATTGAATACTCTATAGACCAGTCTATTGACGACTTTATAGACTATTCCATTGACTACTCTATAGACTAGTCCATTGACTACTCTATTAACTAGTTCATTGACTACTCTATAGGCTAGTCCATTGGCTGCTCTATAGAATAGTCCATCAACTACTTTATAGACTATTCCATTCACTTCTCTATATACTAGACCATTGATTACTCTATGTAATAGTGTATGGAATAGTCTATTGGAATAATCTATTGGACTAGTTTATGGTATTGTATGGATTAGTTTATTGAATAGCATAAAGACTAGTCAAATGTCTACTTTGTGGACTAATCCATTAGCTAATTGTTGGGATAGTCTATTGATTGCACTTGTTATAAGTCAGTCTATTGACTAGGCTATTGGTTAATCTATTTGCTAGGCTATTGACTAATCTATTGACTAGTCCACTGACTATTCTGTAGATGAGTCTACTGGCTATTCAGAGGAATAGTATATTAATAAGCCTATGGATTGATTTATTAACATATCTATGTACTAGTTTTAAGAGAGTCAAAATTAGTCTCTACCAATATTAAGGCCTGACACTGTAATCGTTAGTTTAATGACATTTCTTGCAAAATTGAATTATTTAAATTTATTATTTAGTTATTTTCCACATTACAATTTCAAATTTGTACTAAAAAGTATAAAACAATCAAAATGTAGACAGAACTAAGCCCTTATTATTTTATTTCTTTTATATGCACGCCATCAAATCTAGGTTCTTTTCTATAAAAAAGCGTTCGTTCTACTACTGATTGTATTGCTTCATTGCACAATTTCAGATGTTCACATTTTAACTGAATTAAAAACAAAAATTAAGGTTGTACTTTTTAACACTTCGTTTTCTTATTTTTTAATTGAATTACAGTATGGAATATAAAAAAGAATACAATATCCGATTCAGGGGGATCTTAAATAGAAAACTATTTAAACTATAATTGTACCGGTTCAGTCCATTTTATAAGATGCGATTATATTACTTATTAATATAATTACATTACACATTATGCCAAATTTTCGTTTTCTAAGCCTGGGAAACCGATTTTGGACCAATTTTTCGTTTTCAAGATTTCATATAATATATCCGAAATCTACAATACTAAAGGCATCAAACGACAGCCAGTTCAAAAATCTAAATTGCCCGAAAGTTCGGCTTCTATTATGGAGTACTGGAATAAGAAATGTTTGGCCTTAATTTGATGCCCTATAGCTTATAAATTGACATAAATTTATCGTAATTGAGAAAATTAAAAAATTGTAACAAATCGTATCTATTTACATACGTGCAACTATGTGGAAAACTATTTTCACTTTAGCGGCAATAAATGAATGAATGTTTTTGTTGTTGTTGTTTTGAATGAAAACTCACCTTAATCGGTTTCTTATTGTAAAAAAATATTCTCGATCACGTTCCAATGCTAATAGTATACACTGACATTGTTGTATACGCTTGTGTAGTTGCATTTCGTTGCTATCCAGTAGAACGCCTGCAATGCCACTATCGAAGCTGCAGTCCAATAAAATGGGACTGCAACTGCTGCTTTTGCCGCTATCGGAAGAACGCGAGTTGTCAAAACTTTTTGTTGCTAAAGACGATTTCGTTGTTTTGGTTTCTGCAACTTTTTGTTGCTGTTCCAAATCCGTTGAACTATTATTATTGACCAGTTGCAGCTCTTTTTGTGTTTGAAAAATTTCAAGTTTTAAATTTTCGGTTAAACTTGAAGACATTGTTTTATTTTTTTTTATTTTTTAATATTATTATTTTTTACTAATTTGTATTTAATTAATGAAATAATTATTCACCTTTTCACAGAAATTGTTTTTATTTATTTTTGGTTAATCACATTTTGGTAATTTTTGTTTATGTTGAATTTTTGATTTTGTTTAATTTATTTATCATCTTTCGGCTTTTATCTTTGAATTTGTTGTTTTTGCTGTTTGTAGTATTACCTGTTGTTGGTTCTGTAGTATATAATTTAATTTTGTGCTAATTATTTAAAGCACTTTTGTTGTTTATTTGTTTACTCTCTTTCATTCACTTATTTTTTTTCACAATTTCTTATATTATTTTTATTTCAACATTTCATTATTGTTATTTTCTTCTTTATTTTTCAATCCGTATTATCAGTTGTGTCGTCTCATGTAGCTTCATAATAAAACTGAAAATTAAATAAAAAAAAAATATCCGTATAAAATAAATGAAATATTTAAATATGTGAATAAAATATACTCTAAAGATACTAAATAATTGACTTCAGTTCTAAACGACTCTGAGAAACCTTACATTAAAGGACAATATTTGATTAAAAAGTAGAAATTTGTAACCGCTTATGGCCTATAGGCTAGGTTATTGAATATTGTTAAATAAATAAATAAATAAAAATAAATAATATTTACGTCACGACTTCTCCAATAGTTCACGAGATACTGAATTTTAACCGCAATAAAATGTTTCTAAACCACTGTGCACATATAAATCTAGCAACAAAAACTATTGTCTAACCTTTGACAAAAGTTTAAACTGCATCTATTAAATGCATACATATCTATTGGATGCAGTTAGAAAAAGCTAATTTACCATTCAAATCAAATTGTTAATATATTATAACTAAGTTATTAAATATAAAGGTACGTTCACACCTATCAAATATTTGACGAAAAAGACGTAACCATTATTCATTTTCTGAAAAATGAACTTCAAAGATATTTCATGCTTGTGTTAATAAGTTTTATATTTCAAGAAAAAAATCGATTTTTTATGGGTCACATTATTTAGTCAAATATTTGATAAGTGTGAACGTACCTTAAGCGTGTCAAATTTATTTTAATTATTTGTTGATTCATTTAATTTAAACTATAATTAATTTTTCAAGGAAATTTCTTATATTATTGTTATAGTATATTATTTGGTAGATTGTTTCCATATCCAACAGATATTGTTGCACTTTTAAATGAAAAAGAAAGTTTTAAATCGAAATTGTAAAATATGCTTTTAGAAAATTTTAGTAGAAGAAATGATAAGTCTAAAAAAATATTAACATGCTTGATATCTTGAAAACTGTAAAACAAATATTTATAACTAATGATTTTTGAATAAAGAACTTTTTAATAAAATTTTTAAAGTTTTTATTTAATGGATTTCGAGTGAAAACTCTTATAAAGTAAGTACTAACGACAATTAATGAGAAAAATAGTTTTAAGGTAATAAAATAATAGAAATAATAAATTAATAATTTTCAAGCTCGTTCATTTACTACAAGACTGACATAACTCAAAAACATCCTTTCCGAGAAAAAACTTCTTCTAAAGTTTTAAATAAATTTTCAAAAAGTCATGAGATTAGAAAAATAAAACCAGGTGTCGAATTGTCGCATATGTGATCGAGTGAAATTTGTCGTAATTAACCTTTTTGAGAAGTTGGTATCCGATATCGAATAGGATATCTAATATGTTCGATCCTATATGCGGTAATACGACCTTCGATCTAGGTAGTAGTTGATAGGTAAAAGTGTGCCTCCGATGTGTTGATGATTAGTGTTCTAGCCTGTTAGACGGGAGGTTCTGGGTTCGTCTCCTAACGGAGACATTGATAAAGGAGCAGGCAACAGGTTTGCTGGATTTGAATTTCTTCGGATTTGATGTAACATACATCCTCTTATTAAATTAACTAACTAACTAACTAAATAACTAACTAACTAACTAACTAACTAACTAACTAACTAACTAACTAACTAACTAACTAACTAACTAACTAACTAACTAACTAACTAACTAACTAACTAACTAACTAACTAACTAACTAACTAACTAACTAACTAACTAACTAACTAACTAACTAACTAACTAACTAACTAACTAACTAACTAACTAACTAACTAACTAACTAACTAACTAACTAACTAACTAACTAACTAACTAACTAACTAACTAACTAACTAACTAACTAACTAACTAACTAACTAACTAACTAACTAACTAACTAACTAACTAACTAACTAACTAACTAACTAACTAACTAACTAACTAACTAACTAACTAACTAACTAACTAACTAACTAACTAACTAACTAACTAACTAACTAACTAACTAACGAACTAACTAACTAAATAACTAACTAAATAACTAACTAACTAACTAACTAACTAAAGTTAACAATGGTTTATTAAAATCGTGTTTAAAACATTGTTAACTTTATAAATCATTTCAGAATACGGTGGTTAGTATTTCTTTGAAAACATTTAGAAGACATCCATATGTGGAGCCGGGTTTTTATTTATATTTCTTGACCATTAAAAATTTTCAGAAATTACTTCTTAAAAAAACCATTAATTACTCTAACCTGCTTATTAAGTTGGCCAATAGTTAATTGCTGTAATAAGAATTATTCGTTTGACAATTTATTTGGTTCTCCTAACAAAACTGTTTTCTCTTTCTAGATATTTAAAAATTTAACTAACTTATTATGGCACTAAAATCTCTATAATTTCGCTAACACAATACAACTTAATAATAAAAACAAAATAAACTATTGAATATTGTTAATTCTATTCATTTTTCATAACTTAAAGATTCATTCATCACACAAACATATCTTTAAATTACTGCTCGAACTTGTTTAGTTGATCATCACCCCAGGGGCAGATTTCAAATTGATTTTCTCTTTTGAACTTAAATATTTAGTGTATGCTTTATAAAGTGAAAAAAGTTAAATAAATTCTTTAAATTGATTATAAATAAAGATAATACTAATTTCGTTTAACCTAAAAAAAAGAACTTACAACTATTTATGTAGAAAGTTTTTAATGTTTGATTGTTAAGGTGTTAGTTTGATGGCATGAAATTTATATTCTGTGAAATATATAGTTGCACTAAAAATTGACAGATAAACTTTAATTCCATTTAACTGAATGATAACGATTATATTTCAAACTTATGAACACACTGTATTACTTTTTACCTTTAACCCCCAAATAAATGGAGAAACATAGCTGTGGCACTTTTGCAGCTTAAATCGCTTTTATACATTTTGGGTCTTAAGGTATAAGTGATAAGTGTTAATATAAATTGCAATGATTCACTAGGGTGTAGTCCAATAGATAACCCACAAAAACTCAACATAAATAAAATTTAATCAGCATTGGTTGACTGCATTTGACACATTCAATACTGTAATACTGTTAATATGTAAATATGTATGTGTATCACAGGCCATGAAATAATTAAGGGAAATATTTATCTATTAAAAAGTAAGTTGTTAAAAAAAACTATTTAATTTTCTTTAGTTTGTAAATTCTGCACATTACTTGAAAAAAGCATACTGCCAGCAGTCACTCAGTCAGTCAATTTAATTTAAAGCTAAAGACGACATATCGCACGCTCCACTGACCCAGTAGGAAATTTTAATACAACAGGTTTTTTTTTTCATTAAGTTGTCGTAAGTGCAAATATGTATGTATTTAGATACATACATATATACATAAATATCTCGAGTATATAAACTTTTTACACAAATACCTACATACATACATACTTATGTTATGCATAAAGCCATAATATTTAAGTCTTTCTCACGCTTTACATAGATAAAAAAACGCATTAATACATAAGTAGAGTTAAACATATTTAAAAAGCACGTTTTTAATGGTACCCTACAGCATTTCTCGGCCAGAGATTATGATACGATTATTAGTATCGTATGGCTGATCGAGTAATATTGTTCGTAATATTTCTTTTTGTTGTAAAAGCTTTCGAAATCAAAGAAATCTCACTAAATGTGATATTGAAAATTCTTTCTAATCGGAGGCTCTTTAACCTCCGATTATTGAATTGAATCTATTGAGCAGAATTTGGGATCAAGTAAAAAAGGTTAAGAATGCGAACATTTGCCTCGGTACATTCCACTATAGGAGTTTGAAAAGTTATTGGAATATTGGATATTCCCAAAACTACTCCCCTGTAAACATTATTGGAGTACATGATCCGTTTAGTAGTCCTATGTAATGCTGGCTGGATCTTATATATTTTTTATTAACAACATTGTCCATAGCCTGCATTTTATAGAACTATGTTGCGGATCATATACACGCATAATTTTAGCAAGGGAGTAGTTTAGGGATGACCTAGGACGTCACAATGTTAATATATTTGGATTATTTTCTGATTAGTCCTAGTCCTTTGAGCAATGTGCGGATCAATCTCAATTTTTGCATACATGACATTTACGGATGCGTTCCACTATAGGAATTTGGAAAATAATTGGACTACATGATTCATCCAAAAACTGCTCCCTTCTAAACATTGTTGGAGTACATGATCCGTGTATTATTTTGAAAACAACATGGTACATAGTCTGTATTACTTCGGACCATGTAATCCCAAATTTTAACAAGGGAGTTGTTTTGGAATTACTCTAACGGATGCATAGATGGATTACGTGGTAATTAACTAGGGCATCACAATGTTTCCATATATTTAGATTAGTTTTGGACCAGTTCTAGTCCTTTGAGGAGTTCCTAGTTACCCGCATGTGGGGAGTAGTTTGTAATACACCAAAAAATGGGCCTAGACCTTAAATCGCCTCAGAATCACTTTCTGGGTCGATTAAGCCTCATTCATGGATTAGCACTAAATTTTCTATGAATGCAATCTCCATACAAAGTCCAATAAAATTTTTTAAACCCGCTTTCGAAAGCCAGAACCCCCAGCTCTGAATATATGTATAAGTTTTCTTCAAACTTGAATACATTTACTTAATTGTATGAGGGTCTGTCCATATTTTATCCTAGTCCCCATATAAACTCTTCTTCAAAAATCAATTTGTAGTAAAGAATTTGCTTGAATATATCTGCATTGAAATAAAATCGTTCGGAACATAACTGACCCGAGTCCTAATAGAGAACCTCTTACAAAAAACAGTATTATCATTATAGATTTCGAATTAATATCGTTTTTGTAATAAAATTCAATGTTTATAATAAATGAGGAAATCATTTTACTAAATTCCGCGATAATAGGTCTATAATTGAATACCTTCTTATATGATACAGGATATCATAAAGTCGGGCATGACCGACTATATTTTTTTTCTTGTTTTAAGATAAATTAAAATTTGTGTATAATTATAGTTTTTTCTTAAAATTATTTGTAAATCAGTAAAGTTGATCTGAAGATTTGATCGGAATTGAAAACATCGCGATTGAAATCAGGTCCTGTCAGTTTCAACGGCTTAGAGTTAAATCATTTTATAATTTCTTCAATTCGTTCGAATGTTTCATACAGTTTTTTAACTCACTTTTCATTTGATATCGAGGAACAGGCAAATTTTTACCAAAAAGCTCAAATTATATTGTGAATTTTTAAATAAAACACTCTTACAGTCAATAATTAACTAAACAAACGAAATGGTACTTTTTTCAAACACTTATCGAACATTTATACAAAAGTCTTTATAACAAAATGACAATCATGCAATTAAAATGTTTTATTTGAAAAATTGTTTGTACATATAACTACTGTCAATTGAAAAAGTTTACAAAAATTTCTCATAATTATTTCGAAAAATGAAAATATTAAGTTTTGTTAAGAAAGTTTAAGTTTTTTTTTTTTTTTTTAATCATAAACCAGTTAAAGGGCATCATAAAGCAGACTTGACCGTTTATAATTATGTATTTTCTTACTTGTTTTGTTTTTGTTGTTTAGTTTAATACAACAAACAGTGAATCAAACAAGCTTCCAGTTGAAATGAAAAACGTAACTAAATGCTGCTGCTTGCTTTTTTTTGTTGTAGTTTTTGTTTGTTTTGTTTAATTTCCGCTTCAATGCTTTTGTTATTGTTGTTGCTGTTTTATTCGAAAACATACATAGTTTTTGTTATTTTTTTAAGTTATTCGGATTCGTTTTGTACTCCTCATGAAAAACAGCTGCTGCTGGCCGTTTGTTTTAAAATTTTTGCGTATTTTTTTTTTATTTTTTTATTTACTTAGTTTTTTTTTTTGTTTGCGTATTATTCACACTGTACATACCGTACGTACTATTCTACTATTTATTCGTATTTACTGTTACTGTTTTATCTTATTTTGTAATTTGTTGTTATTGCTTCAAGAGTGTTTTTCTTACACTGTTTGTTGGCTTTTTTTCGAATTATTTTTTTACTTGTTAAAAGTATTTATTTTAGTCAATTACTCCGCGTACTTTGATTGTCGACGAAGGTATAAACGCGAATGAGTGTCTGTCTGGCTGGTGTCCATAGAAATGTTGTTTGGTTTGAGTCTGTGTGTTAAATTCGTTTGTTGGTTGTTGGTAGGTTGGTTGGTCGGTCGTTTGGGTATTGTTTTGAGTTAAGCTTTGTTTACGTTGTTAGTTTTTTTCTGTTTTGTTTTTTGAGATGACAGAGTTATTGCTTTTGTCATCATCATCATCGTCAGCATTGCAAACACAAAAAAGAGTAAACACAATTGTGAGCAGCAACTAATAATATTCATACATGTGTAATCTACACCACAGTGGGGTCAATTTAAGCAAATCTATTACATATTTTTAAACATAAACAAATAGGAATATCTCTTACAACATATGGAACATTCATAGCTTCCCTATGAGATCTCTAGCTTTCTCACATGCGCAAGATGTGTGAGAGCTCTGCTTGATCTAGATTTGTTTGAAATATCTGTTCGTAGAATTATAGGACGTTTGACTTTTTAACTGAATACCACTGAAGACTTACAAACTCTATCTCTCTCTCTCTCTCTCATCTGTGATCCAAATTTTATTCGGTTATAGGACAAGAGTGATTTTATGAAATAAATATAAAATTAGTTTGTTCATTACTAAACGAACTTTTCACCTGAAGTTGGTTCCACTGTTTCATTGCATGTATGTGAGAATAAACATATTAGACTCATGATTCCACAGTGTTAGAAATGTTGAGTCTCATTTATACATATATAATCTAACACCAGAAAAATGGTGTATAGAGAAATTATGTTTAATGGTTCGCCGTCCTGGGCCTCAACCAGGACTGTCTACCGAGCTAATGACAATGGGGTTAAATTGAAAAAAATAGAAAAAATAATTATTATCTTTATTATTTGTTTAAAAAGAATTTGTTTTAAAACATCGAGAAGAATTTTTTAAATTTTTTAAAATTTTTTTAAAATTGTTTAAAATCAAGATTTACAGTGGCATGTTTGTAATAATATTTGTAACACCCAAAAATAATGTCCTACACCAGTCGATTAATACCATATATATAGGTACATCCGTGATCGTTTTTTTATGAAAACGATTGCTAAACTAAAATCGCTTATAACTTCGTAAATACTGCGTTTTTGAAGAAAATAAGCTTTATCCGTGATCACTTCAAAAATCGATTTTTTGTATGAAAATGGTTGAAAAACTAAAATCACTTATAACTTCGTAAATACTGCGTTTTTGAAGAAAATAAGCTTTATCCGTGATCACTTCAAAAATCGATTTTTGGTATGAAATTGGTTGAAAAACTAAAATCACTTATAACTTCGTAAATACTATGTTTTTGAAGAAAATAAGCTTTATCCATGATCACTCCAAAAATCGATTTTTGGTATGAAATTGGTTGAAAAATTAAAATCACTTATAACTTCGTAAATACTACGTTTTTGAAGAAAATAAGCTTTATCCATGATCACTTCAAAAATCGATTTTTGGTATGAAATTGGTTGCAAAACTAAAATCGCTTATAACTTCGTAAATACTGCGTTTTTGAAGAAAATAAGCTTTATCCGTGATCACAAAAATCAATTTATGGTATGAAATTGGTTGCAAAACTAAAATTGCTTATAATTTCGTAAATACTGCGTTTTTGAAGAAAATAACTTCGTAAATACTGGGTTTTTGAAGAAAATAAGCTTTATCCGTGATCACTTCAAAAATCGATTTTTAATATGAAATTGGTTGCAAAACTAAAATCGCTTATAACTTCGTAAATACTGCGTTTTTTAAGAAAATAAGCTATATCCGTGATCACTTCAAAAATTGATTTTTGGTATGAAATTGGTTGCAAAACTAAAATCGCTTATAACTTCGTAAATACTAAGTTTTTGAAGAAAATAAGCTTTATCCGTGTTCACTTCAAAAATCGATTTTTTGTATAAAAATGGTTGAAAAACTAAAATCACTTATAACTTCGTAAATACTGCGTTTTTGAAGAAAATCGATTTTTTGTATGAAAATGGTTGAAAAACTAAAATCACTTATAACTTCGTAAATACTGCTTTTTTGAAGAAAATAAGCTTTATCCGTGATCATTTCAAAAATCGATTTTTTGAATGAAAATGGTTAAAAAACTAAAATCGCTTATAACTTCGTAAATACTGCTTTTTTGAAGAAAATAAGCTTTATCCGTGATCACTTCAAAAATCGATTTTTTGTATGAAAATGGTTAAAAAACTAAAATCGCTTATAACTTCGTAAATACTGCGTTTTTGAAGAAAATAAGCTTTATCCATGATCACTTCAAAAATCGATTTTTGGTATGAAATTGGTTGAAAAACTAAAATCGCTTATAACTTCGTAAATACTGAGTTTTTGAATAAAATAAGCTTTATTCGTGATCACTTCAAAAATCGATTTTTGGTATGAAATTGGTTGCAAAACTAAAATCGCTTATAACTTCGTAAATACTACGTTTTTGAAGAAAATAAGCTTTATCCATGATCACTTCAAAAATCGATTTTTGGTATGAAATTGGTTGCAAAACTAAAATCGCTTATAACTTCGTAAATACTGCGTTTTTGAAGAAAATAAGCTTTATCCGTGATCACTTCAAAAATCGATTTTTGGTATGAAATTGGTTGAAAAACTAAAATCACTTATAACTTCGTAAATACTATGTTTTTGAAGAAAATAAGCTTTATCCATGATCACTTCAAAAATCGATTTTTGGTATGAAATTGGTTGAAAAACTAAAATCACTTATAACTTCGTAAATACTGCGTTTTTGAAGAAAATAAGATTTATCCGTGATCACTTCAAAATTGGTATGAAATTGGTTGCAAAACTAAAATCGCTTATAACTTCGTAAATACTGCGTTTTTTAAGAAAATAAGCTATATCCGTGATCACTTCAAAAATTGATTTTTGGTATGAAATTGGTTGCAAAACTAAAATCGCTTATAACTTCGTAAATACTAAGTTTTTGAAGAAAATAAGCTTTGTCCGTGTTCACTTCAAAAATCGATTTTTTGTATAAAAATGGTTGAAAAACTAAAATCACTTATAACTTCGTAAATACTGCGTTTTTGAAGAAAATCGATTTTTTGTATGAAAATGGTTGAAAAACTAAAATCACTTATAACTTCGTAAATACTGCGTTTTTGAAGAAAATAAGCTTTATCCGTGATCACTTCAAAAATCGATTTTTGGTATGAAATTGGTTGCAAAACTAAAATCGCTTATAACTTCGTAAATACTGCGTTTTTGAAGAAAATAAGATTTATCCGTGATCACTTCAAAAATCGATTTTTTGTATGAAAATGGTTAAAAAACTAAAATCGCTTATAACTTCGTAAATACTGCGTTTTTGAAGAAAATAAGCTTTATCTGTGATCACTTCAAAAATCGATTTTTTGTATGAAAATGGTTGAAATACTAAAACCGCTTATAACTTCGTAAATACTGCGTTTTTGAAGAAAATAAGCTTTATCCGTGATCACTTCAAAAATCGATTTTTTGTATGAAAATGGTTGAAAAACTAAAATCACTTATAACTTCGTAAATACTGCGTTTTTGAAGAAAATAAGCTTTATCCGTGATCACTTCAAAAATCGATTTTTGGTATGAAATTGGTTGAAAAACTAAAATCACTTATAACTTCGTAAATACTGCGTTTGTGAAGAAAATAAGCTTTATCCGTGATCACTTCAAAATTGGTATGAAATTGGTTGCAAAACTAAAATCGCTTATAACTTCGTAAATACTGCGTTTTTGAAGAAAATAAGCTATATCCGTGATCACTTCAAAAATTGATTTTTGGTATGAAATTGGTTGCAAAACTAAAATCGCTTATAACTTCGTAAATACTAAGTTTTTGAAGAAAATAAGCTTTATCCGTGTTCACTTCAAAAATCGATTTTTTGTATAAAAATGGTTGAAAAACTAAAATCACTTATAACTTCGTAAATACTGCGTTTTTGAAGAAAATCGATTTTTTGTATGAAAATGGTTGAAAAACTAAAATCACTTATAACTTCGTAAATACTGCTTTTTTGAAGAAAATAAGCTTTATCCGTGATCATTTCAAAAATCGATTTTTTGAATGAAAATGGTTAAAAAACTAAAATCGCTTATAACTTCGTAAATACTGCGTTTTTGAAGAAAATAAGCTTTATCCGTGATCACTTCAAAAATCAATTTATGGTATGAAATTGGTTGAAAAACTAAAATCGCTATAACTTCGTAAATACTACGTTTTTGAAGAAAATAACTTCGTAAATACTGCGTTTTTGAAGAAAATAAGCTTTATCCGTGATCACTTCAAAAATCAATTTATGGTATGAAATTGGTTGCAAAACTAAAATCGCTATAACTTCGTAAATACTGCGTTTTTGAAGAAAATAACTTCGTAAATACTGCGTTTTTGAAGAAAATAAGCTTTATCCGTGATCACTTCAAAAATCGATTTTTGGTATGAAATTGGTTGCAAAACTAAAATCGCTATAACTTCGTAAATACTGCGTTTTTGAAGAAAATAAGCTTTATCCATGATCACTTCAAAAATCGACTTTTGGTATAAAATTGGTTGAAAAACTAAAATCACTTATAACTTCGTAAATACTTTATCCGTGATCACTTCAAAAATCGATTTTTGGTATGAAATTGGTTGCAAAACTAAAATCGCTTATAACTTCGTAACTACTGCGTTTTTGAAGAAAATAAACTTTATCCGTGATCACTTCAAATATCGATTTTTGGTATGAAATTGGTTGCAAAACTAAAATCGCTTATAACTTCGTAAATACTAAGTTTTTGAAGAAAATAAGCTTTATCCGTGATCACTTCAAAAATCGATTTTTTTGTATAAAAATGGTTGAAAAACTAAAATCACTTATAACTTCGTAAATACTGCGTTTTTTAAGAAAATCGATTTTTTGTATGAAAATGGTTGAAAAACTAAAATCACTTATAACTTCGTAAATACTGCTTTTTTGAAGAAAATAAGCTTTATCCGTGATCATTTCAAAAATCGATTTTTTGAATGAAAAT